ACAAAAGAAAACAGAGATACCAACCAGGTATTTTATGTCCTTTTCTAGAAGAACCAATGTTTATTAGCAAGCTGTAGGTCCACTTACAATAAATATCAATTTATGAAAGAGTGGAACAACTACTGTCCCAATACTGAACACCTGTAACCAAAGCACATTTTGGATTCAAGAAAATACAGCATACATGTATCAGAAACAACCTCCCTCCCCCCCAGCACATACCAAAACCAAACACCAGCTTTAAGATTGAACTGGCTGTAAAACGCTCATTGTGTTACTGCTTTAAGAACTCCACGGAGCACCTTGTAACTCATTAACTGCACGTTTTCCTTAGGAGGGAAACAAGGTCCTCTCTCAGTCACATATGCATAAGGAAATCTCAAAACCCAGAGGCCATCTGGTGGGAGAGTGATTTCTTGTTTCTCTGGGTAGAACACTGGACACGGTGGTGGGCCTGGCTGAACCTGAAAAATAAAGGTAATGCACTTATTTTTACATTTTTCAATAAGAAACACTTGAAAGGTAAATGCCTAAACAAACAACAGGTTCAAAAACCATATAAGATTAAGGAGATAATGGGTATGCTCCTAACTCTAATCATATTCAATATTACATTACTGGTCTCAAGTATTATCCTACTTTTCTACAGATTTTTAACTTCAAGTTCTGCCTTTGAACTATACAATGTGAGTTGATAGTGTGAACTGATTAACACATGATTTTTTTTCTTTTCAAGAACTAGAATATTAGGTCTAAAAGGTATTTAAAATTTAAAACTGTTTAATGAAATAATTACTTTGATATTATCCTGCACTTTTAAAAGACAAAACAAGCATCAGCATTTTTTATTTGAGGATGGAAAAGGTCATATTTCTTACCTGGGGCATTAGTATTATCTGCAAAGGAGCATCGGGAACTACAACAAAAAGCCTCATAAGTTGAGCATAATGTGGTTTTAGTCCTCTACCCTGAGATGATGACAGAATATATAAGGGCATATCACTATTCAAGGCTTTTAAAGCGGACTCCTTTGGCCCACTTCCCATTACTTTCATTACTTTGTCAGGTCCTGAGCACATAAACCTCCGACCTCTAGAGTCTTCATACTCAAAGCCCACAAATGCTCGAGCTATGTCATCTCTCCGTCTTCCTCTTCCCATTACAACTGCACTTCTCTTTCCAGGAATAGCTTTATTTGGAGCAGGCCAAGAATTTGTGTCTAAGTCTCCTTCATCCTCGGCTCTAGTCCTGATGACAATGTCCCAAGGCATAAGATAATTTGTTCCTGGAATAAAGCCCTGTTGGTCTAAACCTGTATGAAAGTTATAAGACTTAGCAGGGCCTAATTTAACCAATGACCAACTGGAGAATTTGGGTAGGAGACCTTTAGGACAATTTGAATGTAGCATGCCTGGGAGATACTCAACTGTGGATGCCTGTCTATCAACTAAATTTGGTCTCTTCTCAGTTTTTACCTCTCCTTGACCATGAACTTCTGGATTATCTCCTCCTGCTTGTGGATCAGCTGGATAGGTACCTAAACTATCTGTGGACTGGCCTAAACTCAAAGCTAAACTCAGGCTTGTGCTCTCTCCTTGGGTTTGAGGTTCTTTTTCTTTAAGTTTATCAGCATCTGCATCTGGAGGGGCAGGAGAAGATTCATTTTTGGCAGGAGCAGGATCTGGTGTACTTGGTTCAAATACTGGGAAATTGATATGATCCAATTTTCCACAACATTTTTCTTCCAGAAGCTATAGAGGAAGAAACAAAATAAAATAAACAACCTTGTGAACTCTTCATTTAAAATAACACACTCTGGGCACCTGGGTGGCTCAGTGGGTTAAGCGGTTGCCTTTAGCTCAGATCAGGATCCGGGGGTCCTGGGATCAAGCCCTACTTCAGGCTCCCTGCCCAGTGGGGAGCTTGCTTCTCCCTCTTCTCACCCCTTGCTCGTGCTCTCTCACTGTCTCTCTCTCAAATAAATAAATAAAATCTTTTAAAAAATAAATAACACATTCTTCACTCTAAAAAACAAGATTAGCAATTAATGGGTAAGTAAGTAAGTAATAAAAAGAACTTTTCCTTGTCTATAGAGCATACTCCAGTCACATTTACTTTTCTACATACTTTGCTTCTGAAAATATGTACTTTTACTTAAATGGTAGTTAACACACACACCAAAGGGAGGAAAAAGAGGAAGAAAAAATTTAGAGTCTACCTGATAAAAGTCATAGTTAGCTGCCTTGATATCAAAGGGATCATCTCGAGGTGCCTGTTTCCTTCCACAATTACAGGCACCAGTAGATCGAGCTCGGCTATTGTGATACAGCACGGGAGGATTCCTATCGGCTTCTGGTTTTTCTCCTGGAAAACATAACACTCACTATTAACTTCACACATACAATGCAGAGTCAAATTTATTTTATATTCTATAGCATTTAACTTCAAAATTTCTCCAAACAGTACTTTGGAAATGAGAAGGAAAAATAAAAAACACCCAGTAAAAACACAAAATCTTGACTAAATATACACAGCAGAAAAAGCAAATGAAGATACAAGGATATATATTTTCAATCTGAAGTCTTAGGTTTTCTAAGACAATTTTATCATCATTATGGTGAGAATACATTTCATTGTATTCCTTTTAGTTCAACGAAAACTCCAAGATAAAAATGTTAATACGAAATTTTTGAAAATTTGTATTAATAGTTCTCATTTACTAATTCCCTACGGTTCATCCTTTAGATAGAGGAAAGTAATTAGTAGCCATAGATGTTATTTTCTTTTTACAGCAGGAGAGAAAACTTAAATTTGAGGCAACTGAATTTCTATAGGGCCTTTTTAAAAAATATCAATACCTAGTGAATAGCCTCTCTTAAAACACAAATATAGGGGTGACTGGCTGGCTCAGCCAATAAAGTATGCAACTCTCTCTTGATTTCAGGGTCATGAGTTTGAGCCCCACAATGGGCAAAGAGATTACTTAAAAATAGTAATTTTAAAAAACCCCAAGAATAAAAACACAGCTCAGTTCTGACTTCAAAATGCTGAGAGAATTTTAGCTACCTGATTTAGGTAATGAGTGAAATTTGTGTACACAGTGTTGATCAGTTAAACTCCTCTCCTCACAGAGCTGATGGCCATTGCTCCAAAACTTGTAGCAGTCTTCGTGTAACTGCATGGCATATTTGTGAAAGGCAGGACCCCTAGCATGTTGACTATACACTCGAAGAGCCTGAGCAAGCTGGTTTTTATGGACAGTCATTGTGTAATTATGAGGCAAATTTGACTGATAAGCACTATGGGCCATGGGTAAAGCTTTTTGGCACCGGTTTTCTGAGAATTTGGTGTCAATATCCAAAAACCCTTCCAAGACTTTAATACTGCTTAAAATCTTAGATGTTAGCTCCCCAGTGGGAGACCCCAGGTCCTCCTCTTTCCCATCAATAGCTACTTCATACAGTTTTGAAGCTGCTGAGATCCACTTCTGGTAAGTGGGAAGTTCAAAATGGGAAGGCTGTGGGTTCCTGCCCACACTGTCATCAAAACCTTTCTTGCTTAGGACTAGCTCCACATGCTGCCACAGAAATTCCCGAAGGGTAAAATCCACTAACTGCCCAGAAGAACTGGAACTGCTGCTGTCAATGTGGAAAGACAGCTGCTGTCGGCTATGCTGCCTCATCACCTGGTATCGCCTGGGCCCAGAAAGGGGTGCAGGCACCAGCAAAGATTCTGGGTCCTTCACAGTACAATGACTCCTGAGTTGGTCCAGCAACATGCCTACTGGGTCCTCCTCTTGGCTACCTGGAACTATGTACACAAAAGCTTGGTTGGCAGGCACTGTAAAGAGGCAATTGATACTCTGATTAGTCAAGACACGACTCTTCCTAAAGATTCTATAGATCTGGTCCTCCAGGGCATGTTGCAGTCTCCTTTTGGGAGAATGCTTCTTGGGTTTGTCTGGATGAGCTGGGTCTTGGCTCCGAGGGGGTTCCACCTTGAGGGCTCCATTGAGTTGAAAGAGGAAAAGGAGTCTAGGTGGGCAAGGTCGGCAGTTTAGCTTCCAGTCTTTGCCAACTGGACAATCCTTAATGGCTGTTTTGAGAAGGGGCAGTACTTTCTGTCTCAGTCCATCCAGGGCTCTGAATACTCGATCGTAAGTGATGTCAAAGGAACAAGTAGGATGGACCAGAAGCAGGATGTGACAGACGGAGAAAAGGTAAAGGAGACTGAGACACTGCAGCTTCTCTTGATGCTTCCAGAACTCGTGCGCTTCTGCATGAGGTAAAGAGAGGCCACCTCCAGCTTCCCCGCTCTGAAGGGCACGACAAGCCCGCAGAAGCTGCGAATTGTCACAGATGGAAGTGAGAAGAAGATAAAGAACTTTGCTTTCCTGATTGTAATAGGCCTGCAGAAGGCTGTAGTCCTGGGAACCTGGCTCAGTTCGGTTACCTTCAGCGGCAGCTACTCCTCCCCGAACCGAATCTCCCGTCCCAGCCCCAGCGTCTCCGGCTCCACCAGCCTCCCCGACGGCTCCAGCCTCGGTCCTGATTCCAGGCCCCGTGTCCCCAGGATCTTGGTGACGAAAGAGGGGAAAGACCTGTCGGTCGCAAACCGTATTCACAAGTGAGAACTTCTCGGAATTCAGTCGCAGAGCCGTCTTGCCGAAGATTCCCACCACGCAGATCTCATCCTCTCGCCAAGGAGGCTCCGGTCCACCAGCCACGCTCCCTCCGCCCTCTGTAGGGGATCCCTCCGGACTTTCAGAGCCGGTCCAGGATGAAGCACCCATTAGAAGCTCTCGTAAACTGACAGGACCCGCCATGGTGCTGAGACTTCTCTAGACTCTTTCCGGTCCGCCCTGAAAACCCAACCGACTGACGTCCACTTTCGAAATCCCTCCTCCGCTTCTTCATTTCCTGCTTTCCTCTCACTCTAGGTTCCGCCTCCCGCTCCTTCTAGTTCTTCGCGGTTTCCCCACTGCTATATACCATAGCTTGTTTAAGGTTTGCCTTAACACGAGGCTGTAGGAATTGAGAGATCAAAAAGACGATTGGAAACAGAGTTTTGCAGTTCAAGGAATACAAAAACACTGCAAAAGAAGCTGGTCAAGTGACTCTTGCAAAAATAGAAAAGTAGTTCGGTTTAAACTCTAGAATCTTGCTACAGAAGGTGGAGCCTGCAGGTCCAAGTGGGAGCTAGTTGAAAATGTAGATAGAATCTCTGGCCCTAACCCAGACCTACTGAATCAGTACATGCATTTCAACTAAATCCTAATGATTTGTACACAGGTTACAGTTTGAGAAACACAGCTCTAGAGATAACTGGCAAAGCAAGGTAGGTGAACATACTTCCTTTCTTCTGTCTTATTTCTAAAGAAATGTAATTCACTCACATCAGTGGAAAAGAAATCCAGTGATTTTGAAAGGTTTATGGAGTACAAGCTTAAAAAAAATAATTTCTCCTTCTTGGAAGAATATATATCAAAACGTTAAAATGTATAGTAAAATGTTTAAAACGTATTAGAATTTGTTCACTTTCATTTCTTTACTCCCTGTTTTCCTTTTTCTTTTCAAATAGACTTTTATTTTAAAAGAGTTTTAGGTTCATAGCAAAACTGAGCAGAAAGTTCCACTGTAACCTCTGCCCCAACACAAACACGTTCCCTGCCCCACCCCCCAACCCCATCAACATCTGGCTCCAAAACAGTACCTATATTACAATCTATGAACCTACATTGGTTGACACATCATTATTAACCCCAAATTGAGAGCTAATATTAGGGTTTATTCTTGGTGTTGTACATTCTATGGGCATGGACAAATGTATAAAGACATGTATTCACCATTTCAGTGTCCTATATAATAGTTTCACTGCCCCCCAAATCCTCTATGTGTCTCGTATTCATTCTTCCTTTCTCCGACCCCTAGCAACCACTGATCTTTTTATTGTCTCCATAAGTTTTGCCTTTTCCACCCTGTCCTGTAGTTGTACTCATGCAATGCATAGCTTTTTAGATTGGCTTCTTCACTTAGTAATATGCATTTAAGTTTCCTCTGTGTCTTTTCATGCTTTGATAGCTCATTTCTTTTTAGTGTTGAATAATATTCTGTTATCTAGATGTACCACCATTTATTTATCCTCTTGCCTACTAGAATACATCTTAGTTGCTTCCAAGTTTTGTAAATTGTTAGTAAAGCTGCTACGAACTTCTGTATGCAGGTTTTGGGGTAGACATCCTCTTGTTTTTGTTTATTTATTTTTATTGAAGTAGAGTTGACATACAATATTACATTGTATGGTTTCAGGTGTATACCATAGTGATTCAAAAATTATGTATTATGAAATGGTCACCATTCACAGATGTAGATACCATCTGTCACCGTAGTTATTATAATATTATTGACTATATTTCCTGTGCTGTACTTTTCATCCTCTTTTATCTTTATCTATTTATTGTGGAAATAATTTTGCAGTATATACATATATCAAATCATTATGTCGTATGCCTTAAACTAATACAATGTTATATGTCAGTTATATCTAAATAAAACTGTGGTGGGGGAAGAATTATTTCATTTAATTTTCAAAGGAAGGATAGAACCGTAAGTCCATGGTGGTGGTGTTTTTAATAAATTAAGCTATACTTGGCTTCTCAACCAATCCTTATTTACTAAAAAGAATTCAAAAAGGAGTGGGAGTGGGATTTTGTTGTTGTTGTTATTTTATTTGACAGAGAGAGACATAGCAAGAGAGGGAAAACAAGCAGAGGGAGTGGGAGAGGGAGAAGCAGGCTTCCTGCCAAGCAGGGAGCTGGATGCAAGGCTCAACCCCAGGACCCTGGGATCATGACCTGAGCCAAAGACAGACGCCCAACGACTGAGCCACCCAGGTGCCCCAGGAGTGGGTTTTTAAAAAAACATATTTTTAAAAAAATTTGTCGGGACACCTGGGTGGCTCAATCAGTTAAGCATCTGCCTTCAGCTCAGGTCATGATCCTGGGGTCTTGGGATTGAGCCCCATGTCAGGCTCCCTGCTCTGCAGGAAGCCTGCTTCTCCCTCTCCCTCTGCCTGCTGCTCTCCCTGCTTGTGCTCTCTCTCTGTGCAATAAATAAATAAAATAAAATAAAAAAGGAATTGCTTTCATATACATATTAAAAAATTTGCCTACTTACCATTTACTTGTTCCCTTCTCTACATGTTTAGATCCTATCTTTTTTTAAAAAAGGTTTTATTGACTTGAGAGAGAGAGAAAGCGAGGATGGGAGAAGGGTAGAGCGAGAGGGAGAAGCAGGTTCCCAGATGAACAGGAAGCCAGAGGAAGGCCCCGATCCCAGGACCCTGAGATCATGACCTGAGTGAAACACAGATATTTAACCAATTGAGCCACCCAGATGCCCCCAGATCCTATCACTTTTTGAAAATCCAACTAAAATGAGAAATTCTACTTTTATCAATATAAATCATATTGTGATCCTCACCATGTGTATTATTTGCTGTTTAGTATGTGACTTTGCTGATATAAAATCATCTTAACAATCGTTGGACTTATAAATTCAGGCAAAATAAGTGTATATTAACCATAAGCATTGTACACATTTCCCAAGTAAAAAAATGTTGAAAACTCAAATACAAAAGACTCCCTTGAATAAAACAGGAACAACAAGAACTCATATTTTGCTGAGGGGACCATGGATTGGTACAACCACTTGCAAGATCAGTTTCACAGTATCTAGAAAGGAGGCATGCTTTACAACCTAGCAGTTGCACTCCTAGATATCACAGTAGAGTAATTCTTGTACATATGTACATATTCAAGAATGTTCATAATGTCATGCATGGTTCATAATAGCCAAAAATTATAAACAATCCCAATTTCCATTAACAACAGAATAAGTGATAACGGGGCACCTGGTTGGCTCAGTGGGTTAAAGCCTCTGCCTTCGGCTCGGGTCATGATCCCAGGGTCCTGGGATCGAGCCCCAAATCGGGCTCTCTGATCGGCGGGGAGCCTGCTTCCCCCTCTCTCTCTGCCTGCCTCTCTGCCTACTTGTGATCTCTGTCTGTTAAATAAATAAATAAATAAAACTTAAAAAAAAAAAAAACCCAAAACAAAACAATTAAAAAAAAATAAAAGAATGAGTGATAACTATATTCACACAATAAAAACAAGTAATCTATACCACTATATAACATGGTTGAATCTAAACATAAATGTTGATTGAAAGAAGGCAGGGGGCAGCTGGGTGGCTCAGTGGGTTAAGCCTCTGTCTTCAGCTCAGGTCATGAAATTAGGGTCCTGGGATCGAGCCTGGCATTGGGCTCTGCTCAGCAGGGAGCCTGCTTCCCTGCCTACTTGTGATCTCTCTCTCTCACTGCCAAGTAAATAAACAAAATCTTAAAAAAAAAAAAGAAAGAAAGAAGGCAGAAACAAAATACATAATTTACGATTCTATTTGGGTAGTTCAAAAGCAAGCAAAATAAACCATAGCATTTAGGGATGTGTACTTAGAGGATAAAAGCAAGGAAATATTTATTATAACAAGCTAACCAGTAGTTACTTCTTGAGGAAAGGGATAGTGTTAGGGGAGGGAGACAGGCAAGGCTTCTAAAGACATTTATAAAGTCTCTTTCTTTGTGGTTACGTGAGCATTTGCTTTATGATTTATTAATTTGTGTATTATGTACTTTTCTATGTTATCGTTCTACCAAAAAATTTTTTTAAAGAAAAAAACCAAAGGTTTTTTTTTTATTGCTTTTTATTTTTAAAACATCACCAGGTGGACCTTGGTGTTTATATTGTATGGTTGTTACTCAGTCTGAAAATAAACATTGGAAGTATATAATTAGCAACAGTGTAATGAAGCCATAGCATTCACAAGATTCTCAAATGGTATAATATAAAACCTGTCATAAAAATTAGTAAAAAACACAAGGTAGAAAACATTTTTAATACTGGTACAATGGCAATAGCAGCTTTATAAATGTTTATATATAGGATTTCTATAGCATTTTTAAATGAACCTTTATTCCACAAGAATGATCAAATCATCAAATCATTTAAATTAAATTGAGACAGTACATGGTGGTTTATTAATATAAGTATTGTAAGTGCTCCATAAAACATCATTACAAATACTCAAATGTTTTGTTCTCAGAGATCATTCCTTTTATTCTTATATAATATAAATGTAGCTAGCAGGCTTTGTTTTGTTTTGTTTTGTTTTAAATTAGAAGCAGGTATATTTCTTAACTTTATTACCTATTTAATTTTCATTCATAAATGTGTCTGTAGACATAAATTTGGGTCTCATGAGAACAAAACATGGTCCTCAGGTCTGCTTTCCAGTCTGGTGACTTTCCACAACACTTTATTTGGTATCTCAAAGCAGTATTTGTCTGTGGAAATATAGGCATTTCTGGGAAATGACTGAAGTATCTTTTGTAGCCTAGGCTAAAATAGTATCACCCCTGTAGCTGCTTCCTGTCAGGCTAGGAAGTTCAGTAAAGATCTGAAACACCTTGTTTCCCATCCACAAGCAGCTGCTGTCCTTATTCTTGGAACTGCAGGGAATCAAAGCTAATCCTGCACTTTCAGTCACAGGAACTCACCCTGATGAGAGTTTCCCTTACTCTGTGATACTTAATGTAATAGTAATGGGGATCCTGGCTGAAGCTATAATTGTGTCCACTGCTAAGTAGACATGTCTGACAAGCTGGGGGCTCCCAGAAATACTTGGCAACTTTGTAGGGGACCGACCCATAGGGTGACCAGATACAATAAAGAATGCCCTGTGAAAGCTGAATTTCAGATAAATGGTGAATAATTTTTTCAGTAATATAGCTCCCATGTAATATTTGGGACATACTAAAACAACAACAACAAAAAAATCCCCTACCCATTGTTTAATAGGATGTATTTATATTTAAAAGTTTTTTGTTTTTTAATTCAAATTTGGCTGTCGTATATTTACAATTGCCAAATCTGGCTACCCTGGAGTGTCAGGAGAGAACAAAAATCCAGTGAGGTTTGTATTATTACTGTTACCGAAGATACAGGCAGTTGAGAACAGGAATTAGGTCTCACAGGAGATCTGCTATGGACTTCAGATAATCTTTGGCAGGCCACTCTGGAAAATACACGATTCATGTTGAGATCCTCATAAAACTTATAATTAGCTTCATGAATGTGGATAGAAAATGTCAAAGAAAGGAATATCTCAGACTTCAGCGATCTAGATATGACTACCTAAAGATCCTTTCTAGCTGCTAGAAATGGTACATTCTCATTTTTAAGGTTATATTGGATATTTTGCTTCAAATCCATTTGGAAAATAATTGGGTTGGTGTGGGGGACAGTCTTACCTCCTAACTTTACAGTAAACAGAAATCAAATCTAGAGGATCTTTTTTTACTGATCAAGTCTGTAGCGCCTACTGAAGAATGCATTAGCTTTATAGGCTGAAATACTTTTCTTTTTAATTACCTGAGAATATGCAAGAAGAATGGGAACTGGGTTATTTCATTTTATTTTTTAAGGAATCAGGTTATTTTCTTAACGTCAAAACTGTACCTATTGAGTATAAACTTGTTATCTAGTTAAATTTGAACAACCTCTCCAACCTAAATTGGGTAATTCCCAGATAAACATCACTTTAGGGACTGCATTTTCCCATCTGCTCTCTTATTGATCATGCAAACTAAAAAAATACCCAAATACTCACTTTATATCACAGTATGTATGGGGCTGTGTACATACTTTAATTCTTCACATGGAATTATATATTAGTATAATTATTTATATATATACTCTACTACATTAAAAAAAAAGGATTGGGGTGATTTTATCTGTATGTTTTATGGATCATCATGTGGCATCAGGCAGAGTTAGCATCAGTTTTGTTCATCAAAGCTGCTTGTAGAAAGTGGCAGAGTTTGAGTTGGGCTTCTAGGGTGAGCCATCTATGAAAAAAAAAAAGGGTCCCAATTATAATATGAATTATGTGACCAACACAGATCTCCTTCCTCACTAACAGAAACCAGATTTTATGCAGGGCAGCAATGCACCAGACTCTAAAAACCACTTTTCCCAGTTTTTCTGAGATAATCAGAAGTTCCTGGATAGCACCTGTATAAAGTGAGGGGTAGCTTAGCTAGCACACCCTTTTGTCCTTTGTCTTTCTCCTTATCTTGCCTAGAATGTGGGCACCGGGCTTCAGGAGGTGGAGGCATTCTTTACCATGAGGATAAAAGCCACACATTAAGGATGGAAGAGCAGTGAAGACATGATGAAGCTGCTGTACCAGTTATGGCTGCCTACTTCCCAAGGAAATATGTAGGTAAGAAAAATAAGGTGCTGCTTTGTTAAGCCACAGTGGTCAGATTTTTGTTACCTAATGCAAAAGCAAATTTTGTTACCAAATGCAAAACCTAACTAATACAGTTGCTTCAGACTTAAAGAAAAAAGGAAACCTAAGTTCTGGGGGTGGTGGGGTGGGGAGGAGGACGAGTCATTTTATGTCTAACAACAGTTTTTTTTTTTTTTTAAAAACTTCCTCCTACTAAGTGGATTTTGTGAACAGCTCATACAGCAGATACTTTTCTGGGTTTTTTTAAAAAAAATTTTTATTTTTATTTATTTATTTGACAGACAGAGATCACGAGTATGCCGAGAGGCAGGCAGAGAGAGAGGTGGAAACAGGCTCCCCGATGAGCAGAGAGCCCGATGCGGGGCTTGATCCCAGGACCCTGGGATCATGACCTGAGTCGAAGGCAGAGGCTTAACCCACTGAGCCACCCAGGCACCCCACCTTTCTGGGATTTTTGATGTTGTTGTTCAATATGTGTGCTTATTCTTTATCGCATTTTCATTTGTTTCCACATTACTCAACTCATTATAGTGATTATGGGGTAGGGCAGGGACACAAAAGAATCCCAGAGCTGAACAAAGAAAGGAAGGGGCTTAGTCCTTCAGTGAGGCCCCTGCCTTCTGCCCCTGTCCTTCATAATTTGTGGTATCACCAAGAAATGTGATCTGGGGGTAGGGTCCCTACTGGATGCTCCAAAAGGAGGAAAGAGAAATGTGGCCACACCTTCAAAACAGTGATTGGCATGAGGGAAACCAAACTGTCTGCAAAAGGCACTGATTCTTTTTTTTTTAATTTTTTAAATTTTTTTATTTTTTAAAAGATTTTGTTTATTCATTTGACAGACGGAGATCACAAGTAGGCAGAGAAGCAGGCAGAGAGAGAGGAGGAAGCAGGCTCCCCGCTGAGCAGAGAGCCCAATGCAGGGCTCGATCCCAGGATCCCGGGATCATGACCCGAGCTGAAGGCAGAGGCTTTAACCCACTGAGCCACCCAGGCGCCCCAAAGGCACTGATTCTTAATGAGGAAACAAAGAGGGGACAGTGTTGGGTTGGCAAAGTGTTAGCAGTGAAGTCTGTGTCCCAGCACTCTACTAGGAGTGGCAGACGGATGGCTACTCCTCATAGATCCAGTGAACGAGGTGAACAGGGAGATGACAGACAAACAGGATTTGGAAGAAATCACATCAGGTTTCACTGATATACTAGAATTTAGTATATGGGTCATACATGTAGGTGACAAAGAAGAAAGCTGCCAAGACCTTTTCCTATCAACTGTGCACGATCTGATCCCTATCTGCGTCTTCATCACTGTTTTTCACTGTCAGACTCGCTTTCTCTTACAGCTACTTAGGCTCCTTTTCAGTTTCTCAGTTAGGTCAGGTGCACTCCGCCTCAACACTCTTATGTACGCTGTTCTTTTTGCTTGGAGCTCTTTCCTCCTAAACGTCCATGCTGGGCCCATCCCCTCATCCCATAGGCAACCTTCCCAGTTAATTCCCATTCATCCTTCAAGTCTCACTTCATCACCTCCTAAGGGATTCCTTAGGCTAGATAAAGTTCTTCTGTGGGTTCCCACAGAACCCCATTCCTTTCCTTTATAGTACTTACCTCAGTGTAGAATTATACAAATATGTGATTATTTGACTAATGTCTATTTTCCTCACTAGGCTGAATGTTCCAAGACAATAAAGTTAGGTTTGTTTTTGCTTACCACTGTATCCCTGGTACTCCAGCACAGTGCCTGGCATAGAGGAAGTGCTTAATAAATACTTATCTAAAGGAATTAATAAAACCAGACATTCATGGTGAAAGTAGAGATGATAATGCTAGCTAGGTCACAGAATTTTATAAAGGCTAAATATGAAATTGTTTTGTAAAGCATTAGGTATCATTTAAAGATTATTATAAGAAAGATCCTTTAGATTGTATGATTCTAAATATATGGGTTTTGAAGAAAAGGAACAATTTTTTGTTTGTTTGTTTCCTCTAAAGGCTTACCTGAAACTTTCTCCTCAAGGCCCGAGTCATTACTGGAGTCAGCCCAGATCCTGTGTCCATGTTTTCTTTATTGGTAAGTGGGGTTCCACCTGGGCTTCTGCAAAGGTATTGAAAAAATTAGAAGCTGTGTTTTATGCTAACTTTTCAAATGGATTCAGAAAGCATAAAGATAAGAGAGCATATTACCTCTCTACATCAACTTTTCTAAGTAGTTTCCGCAGGTCTATCTGGCTTTTACCAGGGGTACTGATGAAATAAAAATATAAAAGTTAGAGCCTGCCAGATTTTATCCCCTTTCCCAAAGCAAAGCAGACGTTTCCATAGGCAATGTCCTAGAAAGTGGTTCTATTTGTTACATCAGCAGAGGGGCACCTGGCTGGCTCAGCCAGTGGAGTGTGTGACTCCTGATCTTACGGTTGTAAGTTCAAGCCGTAGATGCTGATAAGAGCATAAGGTGATATAATTGCCCTAATAAGTAATACGTCTTGACTCAGTACTTATACATATAAGAATCCATCTGAGGGAAAGAGTCAGCTATGCACATGGGTGATGGACAAGGACGTTCACTGAAGAATTAGAAATAAAAAATCATAAACAACCTAAATGTTTCAAAATAGGAGTTTATCTATGAAATTTGCACATAATGAGCTATATATACTGAAGAAGTCAAAATGATGCTTTAAACTGATTTTTAATAAGATGGGGGAAAGTTCTTGACACATTAAACAGGAAAAGCCTTAACTGCATGTATGTTATGATTATACACAGGTATACACACACACACACAAGATTTCATCGATTCCAAGACATACAAGTTTTCATATTTTATTATTTCTGAAATTGGGCTGCTTTAAAAATTCTTCTTTTTTTTTCTTTTTTAAGTAATCTCTATCCCCAACATGGGACTCAAACTCATGACCCAGAGATCAGGAGTTGCATGTTCTTCCAACTGACTGAGCCAGGCACCTCTAAAAAAATTATTATTATTTTTTAAAGATTTTATTTGACAGAGAGCACAAACAGGGGGAATGGCAGAAGGAGAAGGAGAAGCAGGCTCCATGCTGAATAGGGAGCCCAATGTACCACTTGATCCCAGGACCTTGGCATCATGACCGGGGCCAAAGGCAGATGCTCAACCGACTGAGGCACCCAGGTGCGCCCCCCACCCCTGCCCCAAAACATTCTTGATATTATGTCTTTTCCTCCCAAATCCATTTATCTGTATTTGTTTTTTGGGTTTTTTTTGTTTTGTTTTGTTTTAAGTAATCTCTGTGCCCAGCTTGGGGGTCAGGCTTACAACCTGAGACTGAGAGTTGCAGGCTCCACCAACTAAGCCAGCCAGGTGCCCCTGGGCCACGCCTGCCCACAAATCCACTAATAAATCATTGGTGTATCTTATAATAAATAGCATCATGAAATGGAAATAATAGAGTAGATGCCCACACAAAGACTAGAATGATAAACAACAGTATGTTAATAGTAGCTATCTTCAATCATACAGTTATTTGATTTTTTTTTCTTTTTCAAAAAAATTTTTTAAAGATTTTATTTATTTATTTGAGAGAGAGAGAATATGAACAGGGTCGGGGGCAAAGGGATGAGCAGACTCCCCCCCTGAGATCATGACCTGAGCGGAAAGCAGATGCTTAACTGACTGAACCACTCAGGCACCCCCATTTTCTTCTGTAACTTTTGTGGATTTCCAGTCTTCTACAATGAGCATATACAACTTTTAAAGTTAGAGATAGGCAAAACAAAACAAAACATTATTTTAAGTAACAGTGGAGCATAACACAATGTAGTTCCTTACATCAAGACATTTGTAACTCGAGTTGATAGTACTTTGGAGTTGGGCTTCAGGGTGACACGCTGCAGGTCAGAGACAGTAACTAGTGGATTCTGTGCCTTTGGTGACGGTATAAGCTTTAATCACAAAATGAGACAGTATCAAAAAACACACTTAAAGATATCATTCAAAATATAAACATGCTGCAACAATGAATACTTGAAAGCTGAGTATGGGTAAGATATTATCTACTACTCAATTTTTATTACAAAGTTTCCAAGTATGTCTCTACTTCTTTAGACTAATGGTTGGTAGATAAAACTGCCTAATTAAATAATTTTGGGGTCTACACATTTTGTTGAGGATCCAAAACTACTCAGGTAACACATCGAATATTTACCTCAGAATGGCTTCTGTACATAAGACATAGGCTGATTTTCCAGAAAGAGACAGCCAGGTTAAAAGCTCTAAGATCATGTGTATGATCAGCTTACCTTCTTCCTTTCATCAAAACACTGTGTCTTCTTTAACTTCACAGTCAGTAGATCTTTAACTGTTATCTGCATGGGTCCATCTCTTTTTAATGGCCCAGCCTTAAAATACATGGAGAGGTTAGAATTCAAATTGTAACCAAGATATCTAGTCAAATGCAAATCCAAATCCAGTTTTTAAAGACTCACTTAAAAACTAACTCTTATTTACCCTAGGAACATATCAAATTCTTTTAATTCAACCGAGAATGATCCTGTTTTCAGTACACATGGATGCTAATGCTACTGTAAAGTATTCATCAAAATGTAAAGCTTTGACAGTAAATAAGAGGTGGGCTAGTTCTCTGCAACTATGCATCTTCCTCATTATTTATGATAATAAGACCAGAGTTGAAGAAGTTCCTCAAATCAAAGTGAAGTTTTGCTTGAATTACCTAAAAAGTTGACTCAGTTCCCATAGAACAAGAACGTATGGTCAGAGGGCTATGCATTATGGCAAATGTAGTAATAGGCTCTGGATTTAACCCAGCCATTTTATTTATTATTATTTTTTTTTTACAGATTTTATTTATTTATTTGATATAGAGAGAGAGCACAAGTAGGTCGAGTAGCAGGCAGAGGGAGAGGGAGAAGCAGACTCCCCACTGAGCAGAGAGTCCGATGTGGGTCTTTATCCCAGGACCCTGAGATCATGACCTGAACTGAAGGCAGAGGCTTAATAGACTGAGCCACCCAGGCACCCCTAAGCCAGCAATTTTAAACCAAATTTATCTGGAGTGAAAATTTAGCAGATTTTAAAACAGGGTCATGCTTATGTTAGTGATTCACAAATACTCCCTTAGTGGCTAAGTAATTAATGGAGGCTGGTCCTTCAGCTTCATGATATTATACTTTCGGATCCACCAACTCTTTTTATTCTGTTTTTACTCACTAAGCCACCTTCTGTTCTTAATTTGGTTTCCCAGGGAGGTTTTTCTTTCGGTTAAAAGATATTCTGAGAAGCCATTAGGAATATTCCAATCTACTGGCTTTCATTCATTTATCCCTTAAAAAAAAATCACTTTTGTTTCTAAACCAGTTCTACAGGCCTGAGTTTTTAAAAGCATAATCATTGACATAATTAAGAGATGGAATCAGAAAAAAAAAAAAAAATGCAGCTTTCCTCTCAAAGCCCTTAGCCTCGTCTCAAAAGGCCGCCTTATTTTACTACTCTGTTACACACTGACCAAAACACATCATTACTAGATTGTTTCCTACCTGCAGGGCTTTAGTGCGATCAGATTTTCTGAGCAGCACAGGTGCTGTGGGCGGCGGAGGTGGAGGCAGAGGAGGAGGTGGAGGGGGCGGGGGCGGCGGAGGAAGAAGAGCCGGAGGGTGGGCGGCTGGCTGTGGCAGTGTGGGAGGAAGTACTGCTCGAGATTCTCCAGGGGTGCTGAGCACGCGGGTGGGCACATTTGTGAGTTTACCACTTATGTGACAGGTTCGACCACAGTTTGGGCAGGAAGAATTTTCCAAGACTGTCTGTAAGAAAACATTACATTTGGCAAATGAGTAACAGATTAATTTGGTTCTTGCGGCTCAGAGTCATGAAGATAATACCTACCACGTATTGAATGCTTTCTCAGTATAGTATGTGGTTTTTAAAAAATATTTTCTCATTTATCACAAGCCCATTCATTCACCCATTCATTCATTCATTCATTCATGTATTTGTTTTGTGTGTGCAATATGCCAGGCAGTGTGGGTATGATGTGAACCCTGTCTGTTACATCGTGGAGCAGACAGTCTGGCAAAGAAGACAGACATGAAACACAAACACACCCAGAACAAAACAAAGTAATGCTTCAGTGAAAACAGTGAGCTGGGGCGCCTGGGTGGCTCAGTGGGTTAAAGCCTCTGCCGTCAGCTCAGGTCATGATCTCAGAGTCCTGGGATCGAGCCCCGCATCCGGCTCTCTGCTAAGCGGGGGGGCCTGCTTCCACCTCTCTCTCTGCCTGCTTCTCTGCCTATGTGTGATCTCTCTCTGTCAAATAAATAAATAAAACATTAAAAAAAAAAAAAAAGAAAACAGTGAGCTGTGCTGTGGGCATGAATAGGGAGAAACCTGGAGAATGACATTAAGCCATAATCTCAAAGATGGACTGCAATTTATCAGGTCTCAAGGGAGGTAAGGTCTGGGTAGAGTTCCTGGCAGACGGAAAAATATTTAATGCAGCTAAAAATTGTCGTATATTTGGGGCGCCTGAGTGGCTCACTCCGTTAAGTGTCTGCCTTCTTCAGCTTAGGTCATGATCTCTGGGTTTTGGGATTGAGTCCTGAGTCAAGCTTCCTGATTCTCTCTCTCTCCCTCTGCCCCTCCCCACTACTTGTTCTCTATCTCAAATAAATAAAATCTTAAAAAAAAAAAAAAAAAAAGAATGTAGCATATTCAAGGACTGATAAAAAGGCCAAGGGGATGGCACATGAATGTTAGGGGCTGAATTGTGTCCCCCAACCCCTCAAATTCATATGTTGAAGCCCTAGCTATAATACCCCAGGATGCCTTTGAAGATAGGGCCTTCAAAGAGGTGTTTAAATTAAAATGAGGCCATTAGAGTAGGCTCTCATCCATTTGACTGGTGTCCTTATAAAAAGAAGAAATTTGAACATACAGGAGAAACATCAGGGATGTGTGTGCAGAGACAAGGCGATTTGAGGACACAGTGAGAAGACAAGCCAAAGGAGAGAGGCCTAAAAAGAAACTAACTCTGTCAACACATTGATCTCAGACTTTCAGCCTCTAGAACTGTGGGAAAATAAATTTCTGTTAGATAAGCCACCTAGTTCATGCCACTTTATTATGGCAGCCCTGGGAAATGAAAAATAACCCTATGAAGTCAGATGGTGTATTAGTTTCCCTTGGTTGTTTTATCAAATTATCATAAATTTGGTGGCTTAAAACTATTGAAATTCATTTTTTTCAGTGCTGGAGGCTAGAAATCTAAAATCAAGATGACAGCATGGCTGTGCTACCTCCCAATGCTGTAGGGAAGAATCTGTTTCTTGTCTATTCCTGTTTTTGGTAGCTATGGGCATTCCTGGCCTTGAGACTACATCACTCCAATCTCTACCTGTGCTCCCACTGCTCCTCCTCTCCTCTGTGTGTGCTCTGCTTTCTCCTTTATAAGGACATTTGTTATTGGATTTAGGGTCCACTCTGATAGTAGAGTATGATCTCTTCACTTCAAAATCCTTAACTTAAGGGGCACCTGGCAACTTTTGATCTTGGGGTCGTGAACTCAAGCCCCATGTTGGGTGTAGAGGTTACTTTAAAAAAAAAATCTGTAACTTAATTACATGGGAGAAAACGCTTTCTCCAAATAAGGTCATATTTATAGGTTTCAGGGATTAGGACTTGGACATATCTTTTGGAGGCCATTGATTCAGCCCACCATAGATGGCATCATCATTTTTAGAAGAGGAAACTCAGGCCTAGAGGAGTAAGGTGATTTGCCTTTCTTCCTGTCTAATTCATCTTGAGGTACAAATTCCGGGACAAGGATTGTAATCCCAGAAGCTTCCCTACAAACCAATAAGTGCAATGTTTGTTTTCTTGAGTTTTAGACATTGAGAATAGGGGCTTGCTTAAGGGAGATTGGAGACAGTGGATATATATGGCTTTTCCTATCTCTATCAGTCAAGAAAATAGAAATCATCCTGAGTATTTAAAAGAGGGTGAGAGTAAGGTGGGGAATTGGTTACATTAAGAGATGAAAACACATAGGGAACATTGAGGCAACCCAGAGATTAGCAACAGGAAAAAGCCATGAACACCCTGAGGCTGGAGGGACAAAGGGAAGAGCATTATAACCTGATCTCTAGAGGTGGGTTAACCCAGAGAATCCAGGAACTTGACAGACTTACCTGGAGGGAGCTGGGGTGAGGGAGACAACAACCATCACTGGAGAAATTGTCCAAAGCAGAGAACAAAGGGGACACACACTCCCTCCACACCCCCACCGTCTCTCTTCAGTGTCTCCCATTAGCCAAGCACAACTGGAACCAGGTGACATGGACCTTAGCACATACAGGCTGCATGGATTAGCCCCAGTGCAGTGCAGAGTGGAGCCTTGAAGCCTAAGGAATAGATCTGAGGGCAAAGAGGCCTAAGACTAGCACTTGCCTGTAGCCATTGCTCTTTCTGGTAAAAGCACGCTGGGATTCCTATAGGGAATAACCCCTGCCCTCCTTCCCTAATTCCAGATTTCTTTTCTTTTTCTTTTTCTTTTTTTTTTTTTTTAAGATTTTATTTATTTATTTGATAGAGACACAGTGAGAGAGGGAACACAAGCAGGGGGAGTGGGAGAGGGAGAGGCAGGCTTTCCTCTGAGGAGGGAGCCTGATGCGGGGCTTGATCCCAGGACTCTAGGATCATGACCCGAACTGAAGACAGATGCTTAACGACTGAGCCTCCCAGGTGTCCCCATATTTCTTTTCTGTTTAACAATACCAACCTTCAGTGTTTCCTGGAGCTTGCGTAATTCACTTTCCAAAATGCAAAACCGTTGTTTTAGACTGTGGAGTTCTCGGCGGCAGAAATGGGATGGAAAGATGGTGTCTTTCAATACTTCTAAACTCTGAAATTAAAAAATAAACAAGCCTGAATTCTGTAAGCAGCATGATCAGGACAAGAAAAAAGGGAGAAGAAAATGGTTTGATGTATGTTTTACAGAAACAAAGGCCTACATGACCCCATAATTTCATCTTACCTGAGCTTAGCCTGAGTATTGTGCTGACCTGAGCACACGCACAGGTGAACACACATACCAAATATGCAGAAAAACCATATTGCTGAAGATGGGGTTGTCAAAGCCATACCTGGGCCATGCAGTTCTGGCACCAATTGTATATAGACCACACTCTATTTGTCCAAAGTTTTACGGTATCTTTGATATTAGGAAGTCTAAAGTTCCAGGATGGTCTTAGCCAACTTCTGCTAAGGGAAGTATCTGCTGAAGGAATAACCACTCTGTAGGAAAAACAAAACCAAACAAAAAACTCCTGAGTTGGAATAACAGCTTTATTTATTTATTTGTTATTACTATTATTAAAGATTTTATTTTTTTTTCATTTGACAGAACGAGAGCACAAGTAAACAGAGCGGCAGGCAGAGGGAGGGGAGAAGCAGGCTTTCCATTGAGCAGGGAGCTGGATGTGGGGCTCGAGCCCAGGACCCCGGGATCATGACCTGAGTTGAAGGCAGATGCTGAATGACTGAGCCACCCAGGCGTCCCTAACAGCTCTACTTACATAGTAAGCTTGAGCATCCAACTCTAAGCTTGAGCATCCAACTTTTGGATTTGTCTCAGGTCATGATCTCAGGGTCGTGAGATTGAGCCCCATATCTGGCTCTGTACTCAGTGGGAGTCTGCTTGGGATTCTCTCTCAACCTCTGCCCTTCCCCTCATTTGATCTCTCTCATTCTCTCAAATAAATACATCTTTAAAACGTAAAATAACATGCTAGTTTTATAGTATGACTCAGGAGCAGAGACTACCTAAAGCCAAAATTTTCATTAAATTTTAGAGTTCCAAGATGCACTTATACAATAATTTACTTTATAAATAAGTAGTAATAAATAAAATAAACATAAGTAAAGAGGCGTCAGGGATTCAGTAATGAACAACATGATAAAAACCATACCCTCATTAAACTTACATGTCTTGGGACAAAGGTAATAAAGTCAATTAGTAACATATATGGATTGTTATATAGTGAATAAATACTGTGAGGAAAAGGATAGAGCAAGAGAGAAATGTTGGATGGAGGTGAAATTTTAGCTAGGGAAGTCTCACTGAGAAGGTGACTTTTGAGGAAAAAAAAAAACAAAACTCAAACAAAGAAGCTAGCAATACACGGGCACCTGGCTGGCTTAGTCAGTAGAACATACAACTCTTGATTAATGGTCATGAGTTTAAGCCCCATGTTGAGCGTAGAGCCTACTTAAAAAAGGAAAAAATAAAGAAGCTAGCAATACAAATATCTGGGAGAAGAACATTTCAGGCATGGGTAATAATAAGTGCAAAGGCCCTGAGACAGCAGCTTGTCTGAGGTGTCTAGGGAACAACAAGGAGGCCAGGATGACTAAGATGGAGAAACTGAAGAGTAGGGGGATTAGGAGAGAATGTCAGAATCAGATCATATTGCTCTTGTGGGTCATACAAAGGATTTTATTTTATTTATTTATTTTTGTTTTAAAAAAATATTTTATTTATTTATCTGACAGCGAGATCACAAGTAGGCAGAGAGAGAGAGGGAAACAGGCTCCCCGCTGAGCAGAGAGCAGGACGCAGGACTCGATCCCCAGACCCCGAGATCATGACCCAAGCCGAAGGCAGCGGCTTCACCTGCTGAGCCACCTAAGCGCCTGCCTCATACAAAGGATTTTAATTTTGACTCAGAGAAAGGAAGACATTGGAGAGTTTTTATTTATTTTTACATAATCTCTACACCCAACTCATGACCCCGAGATCAAGAGTCACACACTCTTCCAACTGAGCCAGCCAGGTGCCCCAGGAAAGACATTGGAGAGTTTTAAGCAGAGGGGCAATTTGACATGATTTTTACGAGGCTCACTCTGACTGTTGCTCAGAAATACACTGCAGAGGGGCAAAGGCAGAAGCAGGAACACCAGCTAAGGGCCATTTTCAATATTCAAGAGAGAGAAGAGTTAAGGATAATATCATGGTTAATACTTTTTGAGGGCCAGTTTAGTTTAAAAAATTTTCTGTAAAGAGAGCTATAACAACAAAATGTATAATGTATGTCATTGTGAAACCCAGTATCCTAGGGTTCTGATAACTCAGAGTCTCTTTCAGTAACACATTTAAACCTCTGTCCCAGAGAATAACTGACCAAACTTTACCAAAACTGAGATTTAAATTCTAGTTATATATTCCTCTTGCATCTCTTAGTTACCAGATTTATACAATTAAACTGACTAGGGAAAGAGAAAATAGTTACTTGCATCTCCAGTACAATTTCTTATGATTTAAACTTCATTTAAACACTTAAAAAAAAAAAGATTTTATTTATTTATTTGAAAGAGAGAGAGAAGGAATGGGGGGAGAGGCAGAGGGAGGGGGTGAAGCAGTCTTCCCGCTGAGCAGGGGCTCAGGAGAGGACTCTGGGATCATGACCTGAGCTGAAGCCAGATGCTTAATCAACTGAGCCACCCAGGCACCCCTAAACTCTTAAATGATGGTCACCACATAAAATTTAGAATGCTCGGTCAAAATTTAATTTCTGAAGAGGGATGAATAATTTTTTAGTGTAAGGATATTATAAATGTTGCGTGGAACAATATTTTAAAAATTTCATGTTTTATCAGAACTTTACATTTAATTGGGCATTCTGTATTTTTATTTGCTAAATCTGGTAACCCTATCCTTAAGGGATTTTTAATATTTTTTCTTCTTCACACTTACGCCTTACCTTTCTGGTGAGGGTGGCGGCGGAGGAGGTGTGATTAGCTTGGGCTGAAAGTGAGAGGCTTCTCTTTTTTTGAATAATCTTTTTGCTTTGGCTTTTAGCTTTCTTCTTCGTTGCTTGAACTTAGGCATGATTTCTGTAGAGAAAAATATTTTTACATGTTTTTTAAATTTTAGAATAATATACACATACAGAAAATGCAGAAATCTTAATTGTACAGTTCAGTGAATTATCGGAAAGTGAACACACCCTTGTAACCACCACTTTGGTTAGGAAATAGATCACTACCAGCATTCCAGAAGTCCTCTGAAGTGAAGAAAAATTTAAACCCAGATTTAAAATATCTTTAGAGACTCGGCTTTGGCATTACATTGCTCTCTAATTTTGTTTTGCTTGCCTTGCTCTTCTTCATTAAGTCAAGTGTATTTCCATTTCTTATAAGAGAGAAAATGGCTAGAGCTGGGTTATGGTCAGTTATTAAAAGAAGTTTCTTTCCTGGAACATTTACTGAGCACCCACTGTGATAGGCGGAGTTGGTAATGGAAGAAACAAATTTAACCACTGAATATCCGTTTGCTTTTAGGCACCTTCATATACATTTTCTCAGTGAATCCTCACTGCCTGGCAAGATTTTATCCCCAAGGAAGAGGATTTTTATTCCCATTTTTTACATTAAGAATAAACTGAGACATAGAAAGAGTATATGATTTGCCCAGTGTAATGCAGTAAATAAATAAGTCTCGGAAGACTGTGTTCTTTCTAACACTCTGCGGTGCAACAGTTGATTAAATGGGTGGTATACAATGTAATAGCAGTTACCCCAAATCTAAGACCCCCAAATGTTTCAAAACATTTATTTTAAAACACTATTTAGTGTATTTAGCTTTTAATCTGGATCCTTTTCTGAAGAAAATTAAGTCAGAGCTAGTTTGATGTGAAGACGGGCTTTGCAGGTCGCCAGTTGCTGCTACCTGAGGAACAAAGATGTCCTTATTCAAGTAGAACTAAACATGGGCTCAAGGGCTGGGCCTCCCTGCCTTCAAACTCACATTTGAATAGGAACAATTGGCCTTTAAAATACAAATTCATTCCACTTTTGTTCACCCAGTACCCTTTCAATACTTAGTATGCAGCTCTAGGCTTGCCCAGCTCTCGGATTGCACTGGCTGAAGAACCTCCTTTTTTTTTTTTTTTAACTAGCTGTGGGTTGTGAAAACTCTAGAGTTCCAAGCGCTTTGGTCTTGCAGAGGGCACCCCTAATGGCAATGGGCGACAGTGCAAATATCAACAGCCCTTCTAGGAGCAAAGGTTCTCGATAGCATCTTACTGAGCTGATGCCAGGTCTCAAACTAGCAGTTTTCCTTAGTTGTTCTTAGAGGCCTGGGAGATACAGCAAAAAATAGCTGACTTCCCTCGTATTCTATCACTTCTCCTTCCTGCTGAAATAATGAAAGAAGGCTAAGCAGGGATTATTAAATACACAGGGTGTTTAAAGGACTCACTGATTTTTTTTTTTTAAACAGACTTAAAATAACACAAAACAACAATACTCTGAATGAAGATGTTTAGGAGAGCCTCAGAGGAAGTAAGCAATCTTGTGGTTGCCTGAAAAAAAGATTAAACCTCATCACATCCATGCCCAGGACTTTCTATGGAGAGATGTCACTGAGAACCTCTATCTAAGGTCCAGAGTTCACTGGGTGAAATCCCGGGAATCTGAGACTTCCATGGTAACTTCCTCTTCTTGTCTCCATCTGCCCCTTGCAGCCCTCCCCCAATTCTGTTCCCTCTCTCCCTTTGATGTCTTTTGTTAGACATCAGACTGACACAGAGAACTGGTCTCCTGCCTCCTTTTTTCCTATATTCACCAAGCACTCAGTTATAAAAATAGACTTCAGAAAGGAGCTGGACATTCTGGTTTAAACTTGGTAGATTGGCTCTATTCCTTTATCTCCACTCCAATAGTGTGCTGGGGTTGGCAACAACTGATACATTTTCAGGAAGTCTGTGAATTAGTTGTGAAACACATCCACCATTAAAATTAAATTATATAAATTATATAATATATTACATATATTATATATAACATTATTACATTATAAAATATATATTATATATATTGATGCAAAGCTCATTACTTCCTAATGATTTTACTATTATTTATGCTGTTGAGGTTGTTTACATTATTGTATCTATATAGTGAAAATGCTATAAAATGCTAATTTCTTTCCAATTCCATATTCAGTGACTACACATTGAAATCTTGAAATTGGCTATGATGGGAGTATTTACACCGTGGACATAACACCACAAATCAGGGCTTGATTCATTATGCTGTTGATTGTTAAGAGAGTGATAAAGAAAATGTTAATAATGCAGGTTAGATTTAAAAGCAAATCTTGGGGGCATCTGGGTAGTTCAGTCAGTTAAGCATCTGCCTTTGGCTCAGGTCATGATCCTGGGGTTCTGGGTTGGGTCCTGGGGCCCTGTGACCAGCTCTCTGCTCATAGGGGAGACTCCTTCTCTCCCAACTCTTCCCTCTTGCTTGTGTTGGACTCACTGTCTCTCTCAAATAAATAAATAAAATCCTTTTTAAAAATGTATTATCGGGACGCCTGGATGGCTCAGTTGGTTGAGCAGCTGCCTTCGGCTCAGGTCATGATCCTAGCGTCCTGGGATCGAGTCCCGCATCGGGCTCCTTGCTTGGCGGGGAGCCTGCTTCTCCCTCTGCCTCTACTGCCATTCTGTCAGTGCTCGCACGCTCTCTCTCTCTCTCTCTCTGACAAATAAATAAATAAAATCTTAAAAAAAAAAGTGTATTATCTTGTCTGTAGTTGTTACATTGTGAAAAGCTTAAAAAAATTGAGGAATATTCTGGTATGTAAAAATGATTATTTGAGTCATCAAAGAAGTTGCTTACATAATTGAAATGAAGTTCCAATACAAATATTTTATGTTTCGCATTATCTTATTCCATAGAGTAAATGAAAAGATCAACTGACATTCCTATCAGGACTATACTTGTTTATAAATTGGAACCATAGCAGGACACCTGGGTGGCTCAGTCTGTTAAGCATTAAACTTTTGGTTTCAGCTCAGGTCATGATCTCTGGGTTGTGAGATCAAGCCCCACAAGCGCTCCACTCCACACCCAGTTCAAAGTCTGCTTGAGATTCTCTTCCTTCTCCTCTGCCCCTCCCCTTTCTTGCTTTCTCTAAAATAAAGAAATAAATAAAACCTTAAAAAAAAAAATTGGAACCATAGCTTGGTTACAGATACAAGAAGTCTGTAAAAATCAACAATAGTATTCTCTGAGAATCAACTGTATATGAAATTTACAAGAACATTATAGGGGTGCCTGGCTGGCTCTGTCAGAGCATGTGATGCTTGATCTCAGGGTTGTGAGTTCAAACCCCATGTTGGGTGTAGAACTTACTTAAAAGAGAAGCATTATATATATTTTATTATTGTTTATAATAATTTTATTACCTGATATCAGTAAATTTATAATAAAATTATGCATATGTATCTATTAAACATTTATTAGCACACTATTGGTCCAATCCCTTCTGAAACATAACCAAAAAAGGCAGTAAAAGAGTGGTGAATATATTTCTCTTTCTTTTTAAGAAAAATTTTTTTTTTTTTTTTTTTTTAAAGAAATCTCTACGCCCAAGTTGGGGTCGAACTTACAACCCCATGATCAAGAGTCACACATTCAACCGACTGATCCAGCCAAGTGCCTTAAGGAGTGGTGAGCATAACATAATGTATAGAGTTGGAGAATAATATGTTGTACACCTGAAGCTAATGTAACTTTGTGTATCAACTCTACTTCAAATAAATTTAAAAAAAGGAGGGGTGCCTGGGTGGCTCAGTTGGTTAAGTATACAACTGTTGATTCAGCTCAGGTCTTGATCTCAGGGTCATGAATTCAAGCCCCGCTTTGGGCTCCACACTGGGCATGGAGCCTACCCAAAAGAGAGAAAAAGAGAGAGAAGAAAGAGAAGAAAGAAGAAAGAAAGAAAGATGGATGGATGGGAGGGAGGGAGGGGAAGGAAGAAAGGGGAAGGAAGGAAGGGAAAGGAAGAAAGGAGAGAAGGAAGAGTAAGGGCAGTAAAGGAATAAGAAAATCATAAACCCCTAAAACAAAGAATGGGAGCAGACTATGGGAGATGATGAATGTCGACTAAATTATGGAAAGTGGAAAGGAGATGGATGAGTTGGCAGAGCAGAAGAAAATGGAGCTTTGACTGCCTATGATAGGGAAGCCAACTGGAAGCAAGACAATTCTCAGAACTTTAGGTAAGAGTATTCTGGACTTGAAGGTACCTAGAACCTATAAAGTTTGAGGTGGGGGTTAAAATAGGATTAATTTAAATCTTTATAAGGATTGGATAGGCCTCTGGAGTCTGTCTTCCAGTTCTTGTAGCCAGGCAGCTCCTGGCATTTATGTCCTCTCCAGTAAAGGTGGATAGGTTTATTCTCTGGAGAAGTTGAACCATAGAGGTGCCGAATTGTGGGCCATGAGGCATAGCAATAGCAGAGTCATGTGTCATCATTCAGAAGATAAGGGATGATCCTGAACTGGAAAGTAAGACTTTTTTCAATCCCTTTCCTCAGCTCAGCTCCCAGAACAAAGGCCACCAGGTTTTTTTTTTTTTGTTTTTTTTTTTTAAGATTTTATTTATTTATTTGACAAAGAGAGATCACAAGTAGACAGAGAGGCAGGCAGAGAGAGAGAGAGAGAGAGAGAGAGAGAGAAGCAGGCGCCCTGCTGAGCAGAGAGCCCGATACGGGACTCGATCCCAGGACCCTGAGACCATGACCCGAGCCGAAGGCAGCGGCCTAACCCACTGAGCCACCCAGGCGCCCAAGGCCACCAGTTTTAATTCCCTGACTCATTTCTTTCTTTTTTTTTTTTTTTTAAAGATTTTATTTATTTATTTGTCAGAGAGAGAGAGAGAGCGCAAGCATAGGCAGACAGAGTGGCAGGCAGAGGCAGAGGGAGAAGCAGGCTCCCCACAGAACAAGGATCCCAATGTGGGACTCGATCCCAGGACACTGGGATCATGACCTGAGCCAAAGGCAGCTGCTTAACCAACTGAGCCACCCAGGCGTCCCTAATTCCCTGACTCAAATCCCTATACCTTTCATTTCTCCTTGAAGACTAGAAGATTCCTCTCCAGGGAAATTGGCTTGCCGGAGAAAAAGGACATATAGATATTGACATTTAGGGTCTCCCCAAAATGGCCAAGTCCGTGATCATTCATCCACTCAGGTGTCCACAGGTTGATAATATCCACCTCCTGTACTTTAAGCTTCCAATTCTTTTTCCCCCTTTGGTGCTCTCCTCTGACTTATAATAGCCAAGGATCATCAGTTATTTTAGGAAAGTCTCTAACATTAAAGACAGAGACCAAAATACACAGAGAGTAAAAAGAGGATTTCTATTTCTTAAGGAAATGTAAAGGATGTAGGAAGCAGATTGGGAACCTCGGTGGCTCAGTTAAGCATCCAACTTCAGCTCAGGTAATGATCTCAGGGTCCTGGAATCCAGTGCTGTTCAGACTCCCTACTTAGCTTGTTCCTCTCCTTTGGTCCCTCCCCTGCCCTGTGCATGTGCTCTCTCTCAAATAAATAAAATCTTTAAAAAAAAATTAAGAAAGAACATAGGAAGCAGAACAAAACTTTAATTTTTTTTTTTTCCAGAAAATGAGATACTGGGCCACCTGGGTGGCTCAGTCGTTGGGTGTCTGCCTTAGGCTCTGGTCATGATCCCAGAGTCCTGGGATGGAGCCCCGAATCAGGTTCCCTGCTCAGTGGGAGGCCTGCTTCTCCCTCTCCCATTCCTGCTGCTTGTATTCCCTCTCACTGTGTCTCTCTCTGTCAAATAAATAAATAAAAATCTTTAAAAAAAAAAAAAAAGAGGGGCACCTGGGTGGCTCAGTGGGTTAAGCCTCTGCCTTCGGCTCAGGTCATGATCTCAGGGTCCTGGGATCGCGCCCCACATCGGGCTTTCTGCTCATCAGGGAGCCTGTTTCCCCCCTTCTCTCTCTGCCTGCCTCTCGGCCTACTTGTGATCTCTGTCAAGTAAATAAATAAAATCTTTTTAAAAAAAATGATTTTATTTATTTATTTGACAGACAAAGGTTTTTTTGTTGTTGTTGTTTTTTAAGATTTTATTTATTTAGAGGCACCTGGGTGGCTCAGTGGGTTAAGCTTCTGCCCTCGGCTCAGATCATGATCCCGGGGTCCTGGAATCGAGCCCCACATTATGTTCTCTACTCAGCGGGGAGCCTGCTTCCCTTCCTCTCTCTCTGCCTGCCTCTCTGCCTACTTGTGATCTCTGTCTTTCAAAAAAATAAATAAAATCTTAAAAAAAAAAAGCACTAGATATTCTGGAGAGGATACCTCTCTGAAAGAATATATAGCAATCTTCCTCGAGGTTAAAACACATATACTCGTCCCCTTTCCGAAAGACTAACGGGACATGCAAATTCTCTTTGCTGGACTAGGTGGGATTCCAACTAGTAATACTAGAAAGAGGCTTTAAAAAAATTTTTTTTTTTTTTTAAAGATTCATTTATTTATTTGAGAGAGAGAAAGCACGAGAAGGGGATGGGGCAGAGGGAGAGAATATCCAAGCAGACGCCAGCTGAGTGTGGAGCCCAATTCTGGGCTGGATGCCATCAGCCATGAGATCAGGACCTGAGTTGAATCCAAGAGCTGACACAACCAACTGAGCCACCCAGTCGTCCCTTTTTTTTTCATAATTACTTAAAGCATTCCCCCCCCCTTTTTTTTAAAGATTTTATTTATTTATTTGACAGAGAGAGATCACAAGTAGACAGAGAGGCAGGCAGAGGGAGAGGGAGAAGCAGGCTTCCCGCTGAGCATAGAGCCCGACGTGGGACTCGATCCCAGGTCTCTGGGATCATGACCTGAGCCAAAGGCAGATGCTTAACGACTGAGCCACCCAGGCGCCCCCATTTTTCCTCTTTTTAATTGAAAAGTACTCTTCCTTCCTTTTTACCTGCCTTGTTTTTTTTTTTTAAGATTTTATTTATTTATTTGACAGAGATCACAAGTAGGCAGAGAGGTAGGCAGAGAGAGAGGAGGAAGCAGGCCCCCTGGCGGAGCAGAGAGCCCGATGTGGGGGTTGATTCCAGGGATCATGACCTGAGCCAAAGGCAGAGGCTTTAACCCACTGAGCCACCCAGGCGCCCCTACCTGCCTTGTTTTGAAAGGAATTTAAGGCTGATTAGAAACAGTCTGTACTACCACACACAAAAAAAGATAGGTGAGGAAATTAGCATACTTCTTTACAGAATAGAAAATATATAACATATATTATATATATTCCACTTATATATATATTCATGTACATGAATTAGAGATATTTATCTGATTAATTTATCCTGTCCCTTCTTACCATTGCACCCCTTTCTGTCCTGATTTCAGTTGCCTTTGCTATCTTTCCCATTTTAATTTTTGCTATATAGTGTATTTCCTAGTATTAATTTTTGAAAAATTTCAAACCTTGAGAAAATTTATAATAGTATAATACTCATATGTCAGCATCTGAAACAAATGCAACATTGTGTGCCAAGTATACTTCAAGAAAAATATAAATAAAAAATAAAAGATCATGTTAATTCTGGAAAAAAAAATACTCATATATTACTCACCTAGATTCACCAATTGTTATCGGTTAGTTTTCTTTCAGTATAGGTGTGTGTATAATATGTATTATATACTATGTATAATTTACAAAATAAATGTATGTAATATATAAATTTATATTTTACATAAGTTTATATATTATTACATATATTATATATTATATACATACACACACCCCTAAATAAAAAAAATAGCAATAGATGAATCTAAGTAAATAATATGAGTATCAATTATACTATTTTTGTAAATTTTCATAAAGTTTGAAAATTTGCAAAATAAAAAATATGATAGATATATGTGTATATAGATATACATAGATATATATAGATATATATCTATGTATATCTATATACACACACAAATAATAGTTTTTAGTTTTTGGCTGAGCAGAATCATGATACCTCATGCCTAGATACTTCAACTTGAGCTTCCTAACATGGACATGGACATTATCCTACAAAACCAATCACAGCCAGGAGATTTAAGCTTGATATTATCTAAGAAGTCCATAATTACCTCCGTCACCTCAATAATATTCTTTACAGCTGCTCCCTTTCCCCTTCCACAATGTATTTAACTATAGTGTCTTTTTAGTTTCCTTCAATTCACAATAGTTCCCTAGTCTTTTCATGTAAGTATTTGCCTTTCTTCCTATTTATATTTTTGAAGACTCCAGATCAGTTGCTTTGGAAAACGTCCCTCAGTTTGGGTTTGCCCCAATATTCCTTTAATGATCTTCCTGACTTTAGTCTTTCTCCTTGCCAATCATTTTCTACAAAGTTATTAGAGTTAGTGGAAAAAAAAAAAAAGGATCCTGATAATTCCCTTGCTTAAAAGTATTTGAAGATTCCTTTTCATTCTCTGGATAAACTAAATTCCTTCATACCTTTCAAAGATCATCACAATTTCGTCTGATGGCCCTTTGCAGCCTCATCTCTACTAGTGATTAGTGGTTTGTACTTCAGGTATACCAAACACTGAATACTTTCTACAGTATAGTTATCAGGCTCAGGCTCTCCCTCTGCTTGGGGTATCCTCTTTCAAGTCAACTTATATAGCTTCAAGATGCTGTTGCTTTTTCTCACAGATATTTGTTGAATGCTGATAATCCACCATGGTAGGTAGGTGTGGTAGGTTTTGGGATACAATTTGAAACAAGGCCAACATAGTTTCTGTCCTTACGGAATTTATGCTGATTAAAAATGTCATACCTTTTGTGCTTCTATAGCACTTTATAAACACTCTTATTATAACATTTACTGTATTGCATTGTAATTTTTGTTTGCATGTTTGTCACCCAGCTAGACTATGGACTTTTCAAGGTTAAGATTAATTTTATTCATCTTTGTTTTCCCGGAACCAAGAGTGTAGCAGGCATTAAATAATTTTCATTCAATAAATGAATGAAATAAATCATTCCTGCTAAGTGTTAGGTAGCAAGGTGTCTCTTTGTTAGTTCAGGAATATGCTTTACTACAATTACATTTTGTAAAATCTCTTAATGAGGGAGGTTTTTAGTTCTTCAAGTCATTCCACACCTTCATATGGTTAAAGGATGGCTCCAAAACTATTTCCAGTGGGAAGATGCAAAAAATAATAGAGTAAGAACTCGGTTGGCTCTGCTGCTTCTATTAAAACTCCACCCAGTGACGGGAGAAGTGCTTTTGGTCAGGGGGTACTTCCAAAACTGTGACAGCAACGAAAATAACAATTGCATTTCATTACCCTCTTCCTAAAACACATTTTAATGTAGGTTCCTATACTTTCAGTCAATTAATCAATTTCCATTACTAGTTCAATTCATTACTCTTGAACATTCATAGGGCTATTTCTGGTACTTGATTGTATTTAATTTTGTTTTATGCAGTACAAGACTGCTTTTTTAATTCCTGCCTTGTTTCTCTGACGTGACTGCAGCTTGCTAAAACGTAGTCCAACACAGCATTAGGCACAAGTAAACAGGGCACACTTAAAAAATTGACACTGTCACAAAAAGTCCGGGGATATTAAGAGCATATCAAGGAACAAAGTAATACTGCCTGTCAAACTTTAACGTGCATAAGAATCACTGGGAGGGGCGCCTGGGTGGCTCAGTGGGTTAAGCCTCTGCCTTCGGACAAGGTCATGATCTCAGGGTCTTGGAATCGAGCCCACAACGGGCTCTCTGCTCAGCAGGGAGCCTGCTTCCCTCTTTCTCTCTGCCTGCCTCTCTGCCTACTCGTGATCTCTGTCTGTCAAATAAATAAAATCTTAAAAAAAAAAAGGATCACTGGGGGTGGGAGATCTTGTTAAAATTCATATTCTGATTCAGTGGGTCTGGGTGGAGCCCGATAATTTGCATTGTTAACAAGCGCCCAAGTGATGCAGATGCTGTTGGTCCCCCGACAACACTGAATAGCAAAAATCTAAAGGAATGTGCAAAAGGAAGGCAGATGCTTTGATCCAAAACGTATTCTGCAGAACGTTAATTAAATATAAAAGTGTCGTTAGGGTGGAGCCAGGGCGAGCACTTCTTACCGAACCTCAAACCTCCTCCTCCCAGTCTCATCTCCCCGAGTCCAGCCAAAGTCCCCACCTCCATAAATCTTAAGAACACAGGCAGCAACAGGCCCAGCTGCGGAAGACGCGAGCCCAGGTAACACAAGGGAGATTCTCCCTGCACTCACAAGTCTAAGAAGCCGGGATCAGATGGAGTCCGGGTAGTGGCCTCTCCTTCTCCTTAAAGAAAGATTCAAAATTAAAACCTTATCATGGAGGGACCAATCGTAGCAAAGGTCTCTCCACGATTCGCTGTCTGGGTAGTGTAGGAGCTCAGTCTGATTTGTGATTGGTCAAAAGGTCACCACGCACTGGCCAATGAGAGCTGAGGCGCTTCTGGTATGAATAAGTGGAAGGCGGGAGCCATGGGGAGGGGAAGCAGGAGACCTAAGAAGGTGTGTCACGTCCCTTTTGCTGTTTGTGGAAGCTTTTGTGTAATTGGTGGATTCTTCTTCCGATTATACCAATCGCAAGCTCTTCTCTGCGGAGCCTTAACTATGAAATTGAAAGTGGAGATGAGGGTGCAGCCAATGGAAAAAAAAAAGTTCACAGCAGCCAATCCTCCTGCAGCGTTTTGTGTCTTTGCCCAACTGGAGAAAGTGTTTCATGTGGAGGGGCGTTACCCAGTCGCCAATGGGCGGGCGCCAGTGAAGCGGAGGAACCAATGAGCGTGAGACGTTGAGTGACAGCTGTCCAATAGAGACCCTCAGTGCTAGTACGGATTGCGGCTTAAGCACCGCGGCGGTCTGAGGAATGTCAACTATTCAACATGGAGGCGGAGGTCGATAAGCTGGAACTGATGGTGAGTGTGAAGTGAAGGAGATCTGCTGGGTAGTTTATTTCTCCCGGATGGTCTCCAAGGTGGGATGCAATTTTGAGTCGCCGGAAACAATGGGCGGCAGAAGCTGGACCATATTCGAGTTCCCTCCTCTTGTATCAAAGGGAGTCGCCGCCGCCTGGTCTCTTTTAACCGCCGCGGAGGAAGGGGTTACATCCGGGAAACTCGTGAGGGAAATGGCGGGAGATGCTGATGTAGCCGGGCCTTTGGAATTCCTTGTTCCTTGCCCTTACCTTTCCGCCCCCCAAGGAGCTGTGGCTCCTAAAGACAGCGTTCTATGCATTTCCCCCTCAAAGACGTGACTGGAATGATCCCTAAACGCCCCTTGAAGGGGAGAGGTCGTTCACACTGCAAGAAATGGGGATGGAGGGTGGGGTGGGGAATAAACCGAGGGGGGCGGAGAGAAATCCCATTAGGGCAGAGCGGTTCACGTTCTCCAAGGCGGGCTGAGAAAGTCTGAGAAGGGTTTTGACTTGCGTGCAGAACTTCCCGGCGGCCAAGGGAAGCCCCAAGACCAATTTCTGTTTGGCTTGAAGGTGGCAGTCCTTCAGTGGGGGAGAGGTGTGAGCGATGGGGACCTGAACCTCGATCTCCTTTCTCGACGCACGGGAGGAATTGGGACCTAGAAGGCACTCTGCTCTGGAGTTGCCGAATTTCATTCATTTATGAAAGTAGGGGGCGGGGGCGAATAATTGGAAAGGACTCCCGCTGCTGCTTGGCCTGCTCGGAGGCGCCAAGCTAATGGGATGTCCTAGTTTTCTTCTATGGATCCTTCCCTCACTTGTCCTCTTTATTCCCTTCCTCCCATTCTTAGACTACCAGCTTGATCGCCCGCGCTTTTTTCTTCTTAGTTCCCCTTGTTCTATCTCCAGTCCTTTGCCCCCTGCATTACCGTGTGTGAATTGGGCTGGCTTTCTTTAAAATGTGGAATTTGGAGGACGCGCCCATCATTTAATTCCTGTCGGTTTTTTGTTAAAGGAAAATAACAAAATTAAGTAAAAAAAGCCCAGCTCTTTCTTTTCTGTCGCAATCCGCCGTCCTCCCCCTACAATACTCTGGCTTTACAACTTAGATATCATTTGTTCCAGTGCTGCCTTCTCCAAGCTGAACCTTGGGGTCACTTCAACATCAGCACTTGTAGTGATCCTGGAAGAAACTGAGTACCACACTCACCCCCATTCCCACCCCCAGAAAATGTGAGAGTTTCATATACCTTATTATTTTCTTCTGACTTATTAATGAATTAAAGTGCCTCTCAAATACAAATTTGACTAGAGGGCTTTCAGTTGATTCTGACAATTTTGAGTTTTAATTTTCTTTGTGGGAGTCTGTGGGGAATGGCGTGGGGCGGGCAGTGAAGAAGGAAGAATTTTTTGTTGCTTTACAAACAAACCTGTGAAAATGAACTTTTAGTTTAAAGATTTGTTATTTTTATCATTCATTAATCAAACAGAAGAACCCAAAACATGTCAAGTATCCTAGTTTGATTCTGTTAAACAGGCATAAATTAACACGGCCTTGCCCTTTACCCCATTCTGAGTGGATATTTCTGCCTTAAGTTTAAGATGCTAAATGGTACTAATTCTGCTTTTAACCGTTTTTCTCCCCCTTCAAGTTGGCTCTTTACTTTTGAGGTACCAATTAAGCCCTTTCTTGGACTTTGCATGAGAGTCAGAATTCTCACAGGATTTTTTTTTTTTTTTTTTTTTAGGTTGAACAAATTTTAATTTAAGAAGAAAATGATTAAGTATACATCTTGAAAAAAGGTTTTAGAAAATTGTCAGATAGCCATACTCTTAAACTTTTAGGTGTTTGAATGATGGGGTAGTTCAAAAAAATTCTTTGTAAGAGATGAAGAGAAAAAAGCAGGTTTTTAAAAATTACTTGCTGATGGGACGCCTGGGTGGCTCAGTTGGTTAAGCGGCTGCCTTCGGCTCAGGTCATGATCCCAGCGTCCTGGGATCGAGTCCCACATCGGGCTCCTTGCTCGGCAGGGAGCCTGCTTCTCCCTCTGCCTCTGTCTGCCTGTGCTCGCTCGCTCTCTCTCTCCCTCTGTCTCTGACAAATAAATAAATAAATAAATAAAATCTTTAAAAAAAAAAAAAAAAAATTACTTGCTGGTAACCTAGTGGTACCCCCCCCTTCAAGTTATTAGTTGTTATTAGTTTGTTTCCATATTCATCAGGGTTTAAAAAATGTATTTGAATGGTTATAGTTTTGTTACAGAATTAACAAAGCTTTCTTTGGATTGGATAGTAAAAGGTGGTGTATCTCACCTTCAGATTTGCCATGTGCTTTAAAATGTTTTATTTATGAACTGGTTTAGTTTCTTAGATTGGAAAGAAATGATTTCCTATCCAATCCTCTGAGTTTTGGTTCTGCATTACTTTGAATAAAGGATTTGTTGAGGAACTAATGTTGAAAATTTAATAAATGAAAGAGAATGCATACTATTTAACTTTGAAAAGAAAGTATTCTCACTTTTCAGAAAGCCTGGTTATCTTATTTTAAAAATATTTCATATTTTTCTTGTTTGAATTAACTTCCAATTCAGAAAATTAAATATCTGGGGCGCCTGGGTGGCTCAGTGTATTAAAGCCTCTGCCTTCAGCTCAGGTCATGATCCCAGAGTCCTGGGATCGAGCCCCGCATCGGGCTCTCTGCTCGGCAGGGAGCCTGCTTCCTCCTCTCTCTCTGCCTGCTTGTGATCTCTGTCTGTCAAATAAATAAATAAAATCTTTAAAAAAAAAAAAAAAAAAGAAAATTAAATATCTGTCTCTGAAGTACTTGTCTTTAAAACCTGATCCTTGGCTGGCAGAGTTGAGCTATTCTAATACCTGAGTTATGTGGCCTTATGATTTGAGATCAAGTTACCCAGGTTCCAGCTGTCCTGTATTTGAGTTTATTTTTTAGGAGGTTGAATCTAAATAGCTGAACTAGACTATTTAAAGTTTTGTATAAATAATGGAAAGTATTTTTGCATCAGTCAACATTATTAATGGGGGAATAAGCTCATTGTAGGGTAATCTTTGTTCTCTAACTTTTTTCCTTTCACTTACTGGTTGAGTGGTATTTGTCCAGTGTTCTTTTGTGGTACCACTAGTGATTGTGCAAAAGTACAATGTGATACTATTTCTATTTCTGGGTTTATATCAGATTTCTAAATGATTTCTTACCAGTGAAAAGGTTGGGATAATGATAATTAGCTTGAATCTAAGAAAACCTGATTTCTAAATCTCAGAACCTCCTCCTGTACCATTATTATTTCCTTCTTGATGTTTGTACGTTTGAAGAAAATGGAGATGATTTCCTCTTATGTTTAAGATCTTTAGGGGCTAACTGAAAATTTAAAATCCCCTTCCATAGTATTCCCTTAGGTAGGGTCTTGTTTAGGACTCCTTAATTCCTTGAGAACCTGTAAATTTTTGAGATAAAAAGCCGTAAGATAATTAAGAGCTTTTTAGAGTTTGGTGTATTTATTTTATTTTATTTTTTAAAAGATTATTTATTTATTTATTTGACAGACAGAGATCACACGTAGGCAGAGAGGCACGCAGAGAGAGGAGGAAGCAGGCTCCCTGCTGAGCAGAGAGCCGGATGCGGATGCGGGGCTTGATCCCAGGACCCTGAGACCATGACTGGAGCAGAAGGCAGAGGCTTTAACCCACTGAGCCACCCAGGCTCCCCTATTTATTTTATTTTATGTTTTAAAATATTTTATTTATTTATTTGACACAGAGAGAGCACAAGCAGGGGAAGAAACAGGCTCCCCATTGAGCAGGGAGCCTGATGTGGAATGTAGGGCTCAATCCCAGGACTCTGGGATCCAGTTTAGTGTCATTTAGATTCCAGAAAGATAGACTGGGTATTTAGAGATGGGAAACTTATTTTACTTTTCATTTGTTTTCTCTGATTTTCTTACTTAATTGATCATTTGCAATGGGGGAGCTAATCAACATATCTCAGCAAAACAAATATTTTTCACAATTTTGCCTTAGTAGTAATTATAACTGGTTTTGTTAATACTAGTCTTAAGGTATTAACAAAACCCATATTAATAACTTCTGAAGCTTAGGATGTACTTACAGAAATCCTTTCTATATGTTTTTGTTAAATATTAATCGTAAGTTAGTCATCAGAAAACTATTATTTTGATATTTAAGTTCAATTCTTTCTTTTTAACATTGATATACATGTTCTTAGGTTTTGGTTGTCTTCTGTCCAAAATGGTAGCCCTTTAAATTCTTTTCACACTGACGCTTCAGCTGATGCAAGATGCTTTTGTTTTCCTTTACTATCAATATCTGCTAACGAATGCTCTGACTTTATTGCACTACTGTACTTTACAGCTAGCAGTGCAATAGTATTGTCAAAGCATCTGAAAGCAGAATGTACACCAGAATTTTGATTCTTGCCTTACATCTTTCTTCAGTATCTGTGAGTAATTTACCACAATCTTTGTTGCTGAAAGTGTATAATTTTATTACCCTAAGTATATGTTTCAGGAAGTCATAATTTGAAAAAAAGCTCACTATCATAATTAGTGCACTATGAAACACATTGAGGTAACATTTTTTATACCTGAAGTTGTTATGACTTGTTTAAATGAGTAGTTGGATTTTTCTTCTTTCTGTAACAGATTTGGATAGGTTCTGGCATGTGTTGGGTTTTCTTTGAGTTTTAAGGTGAATTAGTAAGTAATGAAAACAATCTCTGCTGTATATTTTATATGATAACTTGCCCCA